GAGCTGGAGTTGGAGGCACTGGCGCAGGAGACGCTGGAGTTGGAGGCTCTGGTGTTGGAGGTGCTGGAGCTGGAGGAGCAGGTACCTTTGACCCTGGTGGCGCTGTGCGGCCGCGACCGTACTTCGTTCCCCTGCTTCAGCAGGTTTTTGGTACCCCGTCTTCTACCGGCCTTACTCCTCCCCTCCTGTGTCCCCCGCTTGACCAGTCGCAGCTGCCGTTACAACCGACCTCTCCACTGCATGCTCCTTCTCCTTACACTGAGCAGTCCGGCGGTCTTCCAGAGCGTCGTGAGCCTGTGTCTCGTCCTGTCTCGCCTGTTCGCACTACTCGTCGTGTTCTTCGTTCGCGTCCTCCTCCTGTCCCCGGCACACACGCTATGGCACTCCGTCCTTCCTCTAATCCATTGCGTGTTCCTCTGCCTGCTCCTCCTGAGTCCTCTCTTCCTGTGGTCCCTGACCCTGCGTCTGACCGCGCTCGCGCTGCCACTTCCGCTGTCGCTCGTCTCCTCGCAACTGCTGTCACTGACCCTTCTTTTGAGTCTGCTACTGCGTCTGCTCTCGTTGCTGAGCTACTTGACTTTGCTGCTGCCTGTCGTCTAGACTATGCCTCTGCTCTTGTTACTGAGTCTGCGTCTGTGTCTGTCTGTCCTCCGTCCGTCGGGGGTGAGTGTGCTCTTGGCACGGACGTCCTTGAGGACAGGCAGGAGGACTTTGAGTGTCTTGCAGCTGCTGTACCTCGTTTCGCTTCCATGCTGCTTGCCCCTGAGGGAGACCCGGATGCACCAGACATCCCGACCCCGCGCTCTTACGCAGAGGTGATTACGGGTCCTTACTCCTCTCAGTGGCAGGCAGCCATGGATGCCGAGATGGCATCCTGGAAGTCCATAGGCACCTACGTTGACGAGGTTCCCCCACCTGGGGCGAACATAGTCGCTGCTCAGCGTGACTACGAGCTGCACTCTCTGGACTTCAGCACATCTTTCCTGCAGGGTAGCCTCCACGAGGAGATCTGGCTGTGCCGACCACCTGGCTTCACTGGGTCGTTTCCTGCAGGTACCCAGTGGAGCCTCCGCCGGCCAGTCTACGGTCTCCGCCAGGTGCCTCGCGAGTGGCACGACACACTAAGGACCACACTTGCGGCTCTTGGGTTTGCTCCTTCTACTGCTGACCCGTCACTATTTCTACGCACCGACACCTCGCTGTCGCCGTTCTGGGTCCTCGTGTACGTCGACAACCTCGTCTTTGCCACTACTGACACTGAGGCACTGACCCTTGTGAAGTCAGAACTGCAGAAGAGACACACCTGCACTGACCTGGGTGAATCGCGTAGCTATCTTGGCCTGCAGATCACCCGGGACAGAGCACGGCGCACCATCACCTTGACTCAGTCACACATGGTGCACCAGGTCCTTCAGCGTTTCGGCTTCCAGTTCTCCTCACCACAGCCCACTCCTCTGTCTACCGGCCACTCGCTCTCAGCTCCACCTTCGGACGAGTCCGTAGAGCCAAGTGGTCCGTACCCAGAGCTTGTGGGTTGCCTCATGTACCTGATGATGTGCACACGACCTGACCTCGCGTACCCTCTCAGCCTTCTGGCTCGCTACGTGGCTCCCGGCAGGCACCGAAAGGTGCACTGGTATGCTGCGAAGAGGGTACTGCGCTACTTGTGCAGTACGTCAGGCATGGGGCTCGTGCTTGGAGGACGGGGTCCAGTTGTCCTCACCGGTCACGCAGACGCCTCCTGGGTTGACGACTCAGCTACGCAGCGGTCGTCACAAGGTTACACCTTCAGCCTCGGTTCCGGCTCTGTTTCATGGCAGTCTACCTGCTCATCTTCTGTTCTCAGCTCCACTTGTGAGGCTGAGATCTACGCCGGGGCCATGGCTGCACAGGAGCTACGCTGGCTCACCTACCTGCTGACTGACTTGGGAGAGCAGCCTCGTTCGCCTCCAGTTCTGTACGTAGACAACAAGGCCATGATTGCCTTGTGTCATGAGCACAGACTGGAGCACAGAACGAAGCACATCGCTCTGCGATACTTCCTTGCTCGAGAGTTGCAGCAGCGTGGCCAGCTTCGTCTTGCGTACGTGGCCACCAGGGCCAACACTGCTGATATATTCACCAAGGCACTCCCGCCTGGTGATCATCAGCGCTTCTCTACTGTGTTAGGCATTGTGCCTACTTTGCCTCACTTGCTTACTGCTTGAGTCTGCTTGTACTGTGATCTATATATATACCTGCATGCTTGCACTTGCTAGGATATGATCACTGTATTGTTTGTTCTCTTTACATCACTCTGCATGTGAACTGGCCTTGTGGCCCTTTGCTTGTGCTCGGACTGCGTGGTGACTTTGTGATCCACCCTGAGCTTGCTTTGCTTTTCTTGACTGGTCTTGTGACCACTTGTTCTCCCCCACTTTGCCTATGGGGGTGTGTCAGAACATTATACCTTTTACATTTGTGTAGGCTATAGTGGGGTAGCCCATAAGGGGTACAACCCAATTAGGGTTAGTACTTGTACCCAACTGTTTCATAGTTCATTCATTTTCGTTCATTATTTTGACAACAGGTCGCTGGTCGGTCACACCCGCCACCCCCATATCTCCCCCCCTTCCACTGCAGAAGCTGCGAGAGGGAAGGGGGAGAGGGGGGGGGGCGGCGTTAGTTGCTGCTGGCGCTGGCGCTGACGGTGGCGCAGGTGTAGGCTCCGGCGCTGGCGCTGGCGCTGGGTGCAGGTGTTGGCGTTGGCGCTGTTGCTTGCGCTCCGCACTGGCGCTGGCGGCAGTCGCAGGCGCTGGCGCTGGCGGTCCGAGCTGGCGCTGGCGCTTTCGACGGGCAGGGCGACGGGCGGAACGACGACAACGATGGGCAGAGCGCAGGGCGACGACGGGACGGGATGGGCAGGCGCGTCGGGCGCGACAGGGCAGAGCGCGACGTGCTGACGGGACGGGACCGGTAGGCGCCCCGGGCGCGACCGGTGACGAGATAGGGAGACGGGGCCACGTGGCCGTGCTAGGGCGACGAGGCCGCGACGGACGATGGGGCCGCGGGGCCGTGTTAGAGGCGACGGGGCCGCGGGGCCGTGCTAGGGCGACGGGGGGCCGCGGGGCCGTGCTAGAGGCGACGGGCGACATTTCCGCATTTCCGCATTTCGTGCTGCAGTGTGGGTGGGCCCATGTTTCACGAAAGAGAATAGGTCCTAAGACTGTAGTAGCTCTTAATACCATGTCGAAACTAGTAGCATAAAAGGGAGGAGCGAGCTTAGGAGCCATGGCTAGGGTGTGAAGCTAGGCATGGACTATCGAGAGGGTTGAGAAGGAGAAGTGGTTTCACTATAGAAAGTGGAGTACAAATAGGGTAGGAAAGGTGGGTACACCACCAAGCAATAAGTTATGATAACTACACTATGGCTAGAACTACAAGCAGTTATAATATAATTCTGACAAGTGACTCGTGTGTTGCCACTTCGAACTGGATTTGATAGGATTGACCATTTTTTAAGGATTTTACAGATTGTGTTGTTTCATGTGATAGTTGATTATTCAAAATCTATGCTATTGATCCCCTCCCCCCCCCCCCACCCCATGCTAGGCAGGGGATGGCCGTAGCTTAGTTTTTGGGTCGTTATCTGTCACGCATTTTATTATGTGCATGCATGTGCATCATAATTGATGACATCATATTAAACATTACGCATCTTATACCATTATTTTATTCACATGCATTTATTTATCATTATTACAACACCATTTAATAGTAAAACATATAATGTAAACAGTACCGTACAACATATTTTCACAAAACACTTGATAAAAAAAATCATATGGTTTGATGTACTATGAATAGTATTGACAATTACTCACTATGCACAGTATGGGAAGGATACTGTAGTTTATGAATGTTATTTTCATATTTCATTTAAAATTAATAAATATGAAAATAAAATTTGGCAGAATCGATCGTTAAGGGTTGCTTCGCAACAAAAAAAAAAAAAAAAAAACGTTTCGTCTGACGTTTAGATGGGCAAATTTTTTTTGTCTGAATTTTCAGATGATTTGCTTTGGATGGTCTGATTCAACCAATTACCTATACTGTACACTATGTACATGTTGTGAATACGCAGCCTGGTGGCGCCGATGGCCCGCTAGAACACAAGTCACCTGGCGAGAGGGACTGGGCTGGGAGAGGCGGGGGAGAGTTGGGCTGCGAGGACCACTGTTGAATGTGTGTGACACGACGGACCAGGGGGAATGGACAAGGGCGAGGGACTGCGGGGGGAGGGGGTGAAAGGGGGGCTTTACTGGTAGAGGAGCGAGGGACTGTGGGGTGCTGGACTAGACTGCTAAATCAGTGAGGGATTGCGGGGGGGCTGGCTGGACTGCTAGAGCAGCGAGGGACTGCTGAGGCGGGGGCTGGTTTGGGGGAGCGTAAAAGATTGAGGGGGGGGAGGGGGGGTGGAATTCGATACTTGGTCGGTATCAGATATGAAAGTATACTCGATGTCTAAAATCTCAGACGAAGTATAACTCATTGTCTTATTTTTCAGAGGAAATAAAAGTCTTCGTCTGACGGTTCAGATGAAAATGAAATGCTGGTCTCGAAAATCAGATGAAACGAAAAAAGTAGGTCTGATTTTCAGACCATCAGACCAATTTGGTCTGATAACCAGAGCCCTGCTTGGGCCGCTGTGAAAGAGGAACCAGGGCTCTTGGCTTGAGCTGCAGGCTGAGATGAGGTTGTGTTCATCCGGTCTGCTGAAAATGTTTCACTAGGTGTACAGCTGTATTGTAATCCTGAATCATATGTTTGGGGTCATCAATGTAGACATAAACCTTATACTAACTAATATCCTACACTTTGCGCGCGTAGCTATGATATTCTTCTATAAAACATCCCTCCACGAATCAGATTCGGCAGCTGAAAACTATCAGTACGAGACTATAATCCTCTTACGGTATCTCATTTCAGTCGGGAAAATAGTAAATAAATGAAATTGTGCCCTATCTTTGCCCAGCATCCAGCCCTGCTGCTGAATCAACACCAGCATCCTCCTTTGGCTCGACCCGTTGCTTCACTTCTCCTGCTCCTGAGATTGACTCCCTCCCTCCTCCAGCAGCAGCAGCATCACCACCACCGCCGCCGCCAACAGAACCAGCACTACCAGCATCACCAGCACCGATACCAGCAGCAGCAGCGTCAGCAACATCAGCAAGAGCAGCAGCAGCCGCATCAGCTTCATCTAAAGCAGCTTCATCAACTCCTGCATCATCTTCCTCTAAGTTTAGCCCTGCTGCTGCTCCATCAGTCACCTTCTTTATCGCACTGCCACGGCCACCACCAGCAGCAGCACCATCAGCACCAGCCGCAGCACCAGCAGCACCAGCAGCACCACCACCAGCAGCACCACCAGCAGCACCACCAGCACCAGCACCAGCAGCACCAGCACCAGCAGGAACAAAGTCAGTGTGTCGAGGAGTGATCTTGAGCGGGTGTGCCTCCGTGTTAATCACCCACTTGTCCAGATTCAATGTATCATCCGGAGAGAATAGCAGGTAGAGGTACTTGAGCGTCTCTGCCAGGAAGAAGCTCTGCTGCATGTTGTCCTGCGGAGGAGGGTTCTTCCCCGCCTGGTAGAGCGGTGGAGAGGGGTGGAGCGGGGTGGGGTGGGGTGGAGCGGGGCGGAGAACGGGGAAATGAGACATCTGCTAAGGGTAGCTAGCATGGTGAGGCAAGAAGAGCAGGTAGAGAAGCTCTGTTGCATGTTGTCCTGCGGAGGGGGGTCCCTCCCCGCCTGCGGGGATGAAGAGGGGCGGAAAGGGCGGAGCGGGGATGAAGAGGGGTGGAGAGGGTGGAGAAGGGCGAGGAAAACAAGACAAATGCTAAGGCGAGAAGAGCAGGCAGATCTGCCAGCCACCCCTCCAAGCCACCAAGCCACCAAGCCTTTTGGACCCCTATACCCTTTACCCCACATGTGACCGGCTACAACTGAATAAGCACTCACATCCTCGAGCCCGACGTATCCAGCCTCCACCCGGCAATGCTTCTCAAACGCCTGCCAGATCTGCCACCCCCACTCGCGACACACGGGGTCCTTGGTGGCTCGCCACGAGTACCAGATCGCCTCCACTGCCTCGGGTCGGAGAATGTTGTATACTCTTCCCTGCAAGTGCGGGCCCTGAGGGATAGCAACCATAAGGAAGAGGAAAACCATGAGGGAAAAAAGGGGGTTCTTCAGTCATCGCGAGCAGCAGCAGCGGCCGGCAGGAGCAGCAGCTAGCTGACAGATCTTCCACCCCCACTCGCGGTACATGGGGTTCTTGGTTGCCGGGTTCTTGGTTGCCTGCCATGAGTACCAGATGGCTTCCACTGCCTCCGGTCGTAGGATGTTGTATACCCGCCCTTGGAGATGGGGGCCCTGAGGGGAAGGAACACACCACACAATAATAGCAAAGGAGGGGGCAGCAAGGAGTGGGCTAGCTGACAGATCTTCCACCCCCACTCGCGGTACATGGGGTCTTTGGTGGCCCGCCACGAGTACCAGATCGCCTACCAGGTCGCCTACCAGGTCGCCTACCAGGTCGCCTACCAGGTCGCCTACCAGGTCGCAGCATGATTCTAATAACAATACTGTCTGCTCACATCAGAGTGGAAGTTGTAGTCCTCGCCTGCCAGCTTGGAGGGAGTGCTGTTGAAGCACAGGTCACCATAGAGGCCAGGATAATCAATGAATAGCCTGTGATGACCTTTAACCAGCAGCTCATGTTGGAATGGACGTTGTAACCCTCGCCAGCCAGACTGGATGGATTGCTGTTGCTGGAGCACAGGATATTGTAGCAGCACTCTATTCATGCTGTTACATTTCTAATAACAATACTGTCTGCTCACATCAGAGTGGAAGTTGTAGTCCTCGCCCACCAGCTTGGAGGGAGTGCTGTTGAAGCACAGATCACCATAGTGCAATGATGCCCAAAAAGGCAACGATACCCAAAGAGGCAACGATACCCAAAGAGGCAACGATACCCCTAATCAAGCAGGTAACCAGCCACTCACATCAGCATGGAAGTTGTAGTCCTCGCCAGCCAGCTTGGACGGAGTGCTGTTGTAAAACTCGTAGCACGTTCGCGTTAGCTGCATTACACGAATGTGTGCTCACACAAAGTACACACACACAGCACACACATGTGGACACACGACCACACATACATGATACACACATACATGATACACACATACATGATACACACATGCACACATACATGCACACACATACATGCACACACATACATGCACACACATACATGCACATAAAAATATGAATCAGGCACGAGAGAGAATGGTTTCTCTTAAGAAAACAGCAAGAGGGTGCATAATAGCAGCCCAGTAAAAAACATACAGAATTTGATTAGCTTGGTGACCTAATACCTCATTAAGAGCTCACCCCTTCCAAAAGTCCAACTTCATTGAAAGCTCACCCTTTAAAGCCACCCAAACCTCGTTATAAGCTCACCTCTGTAGCAGCTGCCCCAGAATTGTTATAAGCTCACCTCTTTAGCCAAGTCCAGGTACTTGGCAGCATCAGCAGGCGACGCCTCTGGCATACCCAGAATAAGCATCCCCGGTACAAAGCACGTGAGATGCTCCATTTTGCGAATGAGCCCCCCTCCCTCCATCTCAGGCACGTAAGAGTATCCCTTGTGCCCCCCCTGGTCAGGTGTGCGCTGTACCAATCTGGAATACATTCCATTTATAGACTTCTCCCACATGTCTCTGTGAGGGGGTGAGCGGAAGGGAAGAATGGGCGTAAATACTGGTCGGCCACCTCTGTCTGTTGTGTGCTGTCCGAAAATGGAAAGCATTTTGTTAAAAAAAGATTCCGCATCAAATTTCCGCAACGGATATGAGGGTAGACGAAGAGGGAGGAACGGGAGGAGACATGGATGTCAGAAGTCACCTTGCCTTCTCAACACCACTCACTCACTCACTAACCTGTATTTCTTGACGACTGGAGTCTTGCCCCCGTGCACCCACATCTTGATCAGATACTCGTAGAAGCTGTGTGGAGGGCGGGGGAAGAAAGGTGGGGAGTAGTGTGGGGAAGAGGGGACGACGGGGGGACAAGGCACTCAGTCTTGCCCCCGTGCACCCACATCTTGATCAGATACTCATAGAAGCTGATGGGTAGGGAAGAAGGGGGGACAAAGGGACTCAGTCTTGCCCCCGTGCACCCACATCTTGATCAGATACTCGTAGAAGCTGGAAGGGGGCGGGAGGGTGGGGAAGAGGGTGGGGAAGCGGGTGGGGAAGCGGATGGGGAAGCGGGTGGGGAAGCGGATGGGGAAGAGGGTGGGGAAACGGATGGGGAAGAGGGTGAGGAAACAGATGGGGAAGAGGGTGAGGAAACCGATGGGGAAGAGGGTGAGGAAACAGATGGGGAAGAGGGTGAGGAAACGGATGGGGAAGAGGGTGAGGAAACGGATGGGGAAGAGGGTGAGGAAACGGATGGGGAAGAGGGTGGGGAAACGGATGGGGAAGAGGGTGAGGAAACGGATGGGGAAGAGGGTGAGGAAACGGATGGGGAAGAGGGTGGGGAAGAGGCATGAGGCCATGCCATGCCATGGCAGGTGCACAAGGTTCTCACCTGTCCCCCACGAGTTTCACCCTCTAGCCTCCAGAGCTTGCATGCTATGTGCCAGGTGAATGATGCAATGGTAGGTGCACGAGGTGACTCACCTGTCGCCCATGGACCCGAACGTGATGTGGCTGCTCGTGGGCTCCCCGCTGTCGATGCTGATGAACATGGGCACCAGACCATGACAGGTACTCTAGCCTCCAGGGCATGCTGTGTGTCAGGTACAAGAGGTCACTCACCTGTCACCCATGGACCCGAACGTGATGTGGCTGCTCGTGGGCTCCCCGCTGTCGATGCTGATGAACATGGGCACCAGGCCGTCCTCTGTACCAGATACAAGAGGCTACAGCAGCACAGACCCCACCCACTCACCTGTCACCCATGGACCCGAAGGTGATGTGGCTGCTCGTGGGCTCCCCGCTGTCAATACTGATGAACATGGGCACGAGGCCGTCCTCTGGGAAGATCTTCTCTATCTGCCGAATGACGTTCTCGGCATGTGAGGGGAGGGGTGGGGAAGGGGTGCGGGGGAAGGGGAGAGGTGGGGTATGGAAGCAGGAGAGGAGGAGGAGGAGCAGCATGGGCAGGCCGTCCTCTGGGAAGATCTTCTCCATCTGCTTAAGATGACCCCTATGTGATTAGCATATGCTTAATCACATTCTCTGCCTGTGGCGGGAGGTGAGGTGAGGGAGGGAAAGAACGGGAAGGGAAGTTTGCGAACAAGGGATTTGGGGGGTGGGAAGAGGGGAGAGGAGGAGGAGCAACATGGGCACGAGGCTTCCCTTGGGAAGAACTTCTCAATCTGCCGAATCACGTTCTCTGCCTGTGGCGTGACATGGGCAAGGAAGAGAATGACGGGAAGGAAGGTTCGAGAGTGGGGAGAGGAGGAGGAGGAGGAGGAGGAGGAGGAGGAGGAGGAGGAGGAGGAGGAGGAGGAGGAGGAGGAGGAGTCTCAAAAGTCGAGTTGGGTAAAGCCAGCCTTTCCCCAGCATTGCTCCGTAGCCTTGTCCAACAAAAATCGGACTCAGATTCAAAAAGGGAATCCCAGTGGGGGTGTCTTTTGAGACGTCTCAAAAGTCGAGTTGGGTAAAGCCAGCCTTTCCCCAGCATTGCTCCGTAGCCTTGTCCAACAAAAATCGGACTCAGATTCAAAAAGGGAATCCCAGTGGGGGTGTCTTTTGAGACGTCTCAAAAGTCGAGTTGGGTAAAGCCAGCCTTTCCCCAGCATTGCTCCGTAGCCTTGTCCAACAAAAATCGGACTCAGATTCAAAAAGGGAATCCCAGTGGGGGTGTCTTTTGAGACGTCTCAAAAGTCGAGTTGGGTAAAGCCAGCCTTTCCCCAGCATTGCTCCGTAGCCTTGTCCAACAAAAATCGGACTCAGATTCAAAAAGGGAATCCCAGAGGGGTGTGGAACACTGTCAGGAGCCTATCCCCACAGTTCCCTCGCCTTGTCCAAGAAGACCTTTTCTCCTGACAGGCCGAGCGCTGCTAGCAGCCCTATGGAAGCATGATGGGTGAGGGGGGAAGGGACAGCGACAAACTTAAAAATGGGAGGATGCGGGGCTCTGGCCTTATCCTCGTTATGAGCTGATCCGTTAACGGAGAGGAACTGGTCGACCAGCTGTTGGAGAGCAGCCCAACGGGCGAAGTAGCCTCGGTGGATGACTGGGGACCGCCTGGCCGGGCGGCGCACGAATAGCTTCACAAAGGGATCCTGGAAATAACCCTTTGTTACGCAGGATCTGTTGAGGGAGAGAGGTAAGGAAGGGAGAGAGGAAGAATTTGAAATCAGTGTTGATTAATTCGACAGCGCGGCGCCTCAAAGGCGAACAAAGAGCTTCACAAAGGGATCCTGGAAATAACCTTTGGTGACACACGAACTGACAAGGGAGTATAGGGGTAGCGGGAAAGGGTTGGGTGAAACATGGATCGCTCTTCTGCTCTGTGATGCCTCAAAAGCCGCCAACAAAGAGCTTCACAATGGGTTGTGTTTTGAGGCGACTCAAAACAAGGGTTGGTTGAAACATGGTTGGCTATTCTGTGATGCCTCAAAAGCAGGTTGTTTTTGAGAGTTTTCAAAAACAACCACCAACAAAAAGCTTCAAAATGGAGTCCTGGAAACAACCCTTGGTCACGCAGGAACTGTAAGAGAAGGGGCGTAACATAAGAGGGAGAGTGGAGGAGGGGAGAAGGGGTGTGTGTGAATCATACGGAAGTAGCGGCTTCTGGAGATACAGGAATTGCTGGGGGGGAATTTTTGCTTACTAACTTGAATAACTCAAGTAACAATACTTCACAGGCGGCCGCCCTGGTAGTTTCCGTCTGTCTGTCGTTCCTCGTCGTTCCTTGTCGTTCTTTGTCGCTCGTCGCCGCTTCCCCGTCTTCCGTCGCCTGAAAATTTCGACTCAAGCCATTCCGTTGTAGTCCCTAGGCTCATGACGTCACAATTCCTGGAATCATGACGTCACAACCCTGAAATCATGACGTCACAATCCCTGGACTCATGACGTCACAACCCGAGATCATGACGTCACAATCCCTGGACTCATGACGTCACAGCCCCAGGGCCTTGCGCTTGGCCCACTCCGGACAATGCTCGCAGTTTTTCTGATTGTCGGTTGAGAAACGGCCTTGCAGTTGACCAGCTCCAGACAATGCTCACAATTTTATGACGGTCGCGACGTCGTCTCGGGTTTCCTGCACATAATATCGTCTCGTGACAATACTGACAATACTTCACGTACGGTTCGTATCTTATCACCCGCTACAGAAAATACTCACAGTTTACTGACGGTCGCGTCGTCGTTTGTCGCTTGAACGTACTTCTCGTTACCCGCCATTAGCACCCAGCGCTGTACGAACAAGTGATCCGAACAATGTTCCGTGGGAAGTCTCCGCACCGTAATAGCAAGACGGCGGAGATTTCTAGACCGTGAAACAACAGAAGGCGAATCCTGGCTATTCCAGGCGAATCCTGGCGATTCCAGGCGAATCCTAGCTAGGCCTGGCTGGCTGCTGGAGTACTAAGCTTTTCGCTGGCTGGCACACAGCAATCCCAGTGCCGGAATAGCAGAAAGAGATTCCCTGGCAGAGCCAGCATACGCTTTATTGGATGATTTGTCTATTTGACCACAGTACTGATTCTATTTTGCATTCCAAACGATGGGAGTGTTGTCGAAGTGTGGATTATAATTGAATTTCGATTGGACACCTCTCTTCGATATCAAACCAGCCCTCCTCCATCGTTTCTTTTCCTCGTCTTCAGGCTCATGCCTGGAAATGTTTCATCCCCAACATAGATCAGCTTCTAAGACCTGTCAAGCCAACCCAAGGTTGGATCCATTAATTATCTACCAACATATTGTCAAGAAATGAAAGTGTTGGTTTCACTAAGTTTGGTTGGGGTACATAAACCTAACCCTAACAGTTGTACCCCCTATAACATACATCACTAAGACTACAACATTTGACACACCCCCATGGTCTAAGTGAGGGGTGTCAAACAAAACCAAAAGTGTACGGTCACAAGACCAGTCACAAAGGAACAAAGCTCAGGGTGGATCACAACGTCACCACACACTCCGAGCACAAGCAAAAGAGCCACAAGGCTAGTTCAAGAGTTCACTGGTATATGTAAGGTGTACAAACAAAGCAATGAGATAACTCAAGACTATGCAAGGCGAGAACCTGTGTCAACGAGACCTAACTGTACACAACACCTCTGGTGGTCATAAGGCGGCAGGGCCTTAGTGAAGATGTCTGCAGTGTTAGCCTCGGACTCAACAAAGTCGAAACGAGCCTGTCCACGCCTCTGCAACTCTCGCAGAAGAAAGTAACTGACGTGAATGTGCTTCCCTCTACTCTCCAGTCGCGTCTCTCGACAGAGGAGAATCGTCGCCTTGTTATCAGTGAACAAGGTCGGCGCAGAGCTCGGCCGCTCACTAAGGTCAGTGAGCAAGAACGTCAGCCAGCGCAACTCCTGTGCAGCCATAGCTCTAGCGTAGATCTCGGCCTCAGCAATAGAGGTCGAGACCAAGGAGGAACGTGTGGACCTCCACGAAACAGCTCAAGAGCCCAGGCTGAAACAGTACCCCTGAGTAGACCTGTGCGTCTCGGCGTCGTCAGCGTAAGAAGAGTCACAGTGACCAGTAAGCACGACGTCCTGTCTCCCTCCAAGAACCAGCCCCACGCATGATGTCGTCACTAGGTACTTCGCCACCCTCACAACAGCTGTCCAGTGAACTGGACGGTGTCTCCCTGGCGCAACAAAGCGAGCAAGGATGCTGAGAGGGAAGGCGAGGTCCGGGCGAGTACAAGTCATCAGGTACATGAGGCAGACCACAAGCTCTGCGTAAGGACCACTAGGCTCGAACGGCTCGTCAAGAAAGGGTCCAGTGAGTCTGTGGTCAACGGCAAGAGGTGTGCGCTGTACAGTAGAGTGCTGAAGCTCGAACCGCTGAAGGACCTGTTGCACCATGTGTGACTGTGAGAGTGTAATGGTGCGAGCAGCTCTGTCCCTGGTGATCTGCAGGCCAAGGTAGTGGCGCAGCTCACCAAGGTCAGTGCAAGTGTGTCTCTTCTGCAGTTCGAGCTTAACGTGAGCCAAAGCAACCCTGTCAGCAGTGGCGAAAACCAGGTCGTCGACGTAGACCAGTACAAAGAACGGTGTGGAGCCACGACGAACGAACAGCGATGGGTCGGCAGAAGAAGGCTGGAAACCAAGGGCATAAAGGGTAGAGCGAAGGGTGTCGTGCCACTCACGAGGAGCATGACGGAGACCGTAGACCGGTCGCCTACGCCTCCACTGGGTCCCAGGAGGGAAAGTGCCAGTGAAGGCAGAGGGACGACGTAACCAGACCTCCTCGTGTAGGCTACCCTGAAGGAAAGCAGTGGAGAAGTCAAGAGATTGTAACTCGTAGTCTCTCTGTGCTGCTACGTGCAGTAACACCCAAAGAGTGGTCATCTTTGGGGTAGGCGCAAAGGTCTGAAAAAAGTCAACTCCCTCGCGCTGACTGAAACCTCTGGCCACATAGCGCGCCTTGAAGACTGGAGGAGATCCCGGTTGCCGCTTCACCCTGAAGATCCACATGCCATCGACTATGTTTGCCCCAAGGGGGGGAACCTCGTCGACGTAGGTGCCTGTGGATCTGTAGGAGGCCATCTCTAAGTCCATGGCAGCTCTCCACTGAGAGGCCCAAGGCCCTGACACTGCCTCAGCGTAAGTGCGAGGAGTCGGTATGTCAAGGGCGTCGGGGTCTCCCTCAGGGGCGAGCAGCATGGCACAGAGATGAAGTGAATCAGCTGCCAGGAACTTCAGCTCAAACTTCCTGTCCTCTAGGGCGTCACAGCCAAGGGCAGACTCACCCACGACGGTCAGAGGAATGGTAGGAGGAGCAGCCACAAGACTGGTGGCGTAGTCAAGGCAGCGAGTAGAGGCAAACTCAGTGAGAGTGGCAGTAAGAGCGGAGACAGAGGACAGAGAAGCACGTGGGTCGGTAACAAGAGAGGCAAGAACACGAGAGAGAACAGGATGGTACGTGTGGTAGTAGTCCGTGATAGGAGTAGAGAGGGAAGCAGTGAGAGCCGACTCAGGAGGAGAAGGAAGTACAGAAGGAAACGAACGAGGAGGACTAGAGTGAAACAGGGTAGTATGAAGGTCAGTGAAGGGAACAGGGGATGAGGGACGAACACGAGGAGAGCGACGCGAAGGTCAAGCGTGAGAAAGAGGAGGGGACAACGGGGGCAGAGGAGGAGGGACAACCGCTGGGGAGGGGTCAGGAGGAGGAAGCGGAGGACCAGAGATGGGAGGAGAGGGGGGGGGGGGGAGGAGAAGGAGAGGGGAAACCGAGGGTCCGAAGACCAGAGACAGGAGGAGGAGGTGGCTGCTGCTGCTGCTCCTGCTGCGGCTGCGACCACTGCTCCTCCAGCTGCGGCGGCTGCTGCTGCTGCCGCTTCGGCTGCTGCTGCTGCTGCCGCTGCGGCTGCTGCCGGGGCTGCTCCTGCTCCGGCTGCTGCTGCTACTGCTCCTCCAGCCACTGTAGCTCCAGCTGCTGCCGCTCCAACTCTCTCTCCTCTCGCTCCAACTGCAGCTGCTCCTCACGGGCACGGCGAACACGGGCCTGGTGCCAGGTCGGGTAGGGGTGGGGAGGAGGAGAAGTGTCCGGAGCGGTGGTAGCCCCAAGACCGCTCTCCAAAGAACCAGTCGCACCAACCCTAGAGCCAGCACCACCAGAAGTAACAGGGTCTGTCCTAGACTCTCCAGGTCCAGCAGAGGGCGCACCCTCAGTCGTAGCACCCCCAGGGACAGCTCCACGAACACCAGCTCCCCGAAGACTAGAGTCTCCTGCAGTCACGGGCTCAGCTCCAACTCCAGCACCCCCAGAACCAGGACCTCGCACAGGTACGCTCTCTGCTCCAACTCCAGCACCACTAGAGCTAGCACCTCCAGGGTCCTCGCCACGAAAACCGGCTCCCACAGGGTCTGCTGTAGGCTGGGAGGAGGACTGCGGGGAAGGAGGCTGCACCTGAGGGGCTACCGAGGGGGGAGGGGTAGCGTGGGACACACCTGACGGGGCAGGACTAGGGGGGGGAGGCTGTACCGGGGGAGCAGAAGGGGGAGCTGAAGTTAGGAAGAGAGGGGGAGGAGGAACCGGGAGACCTCGACAGGGGTACCTAACGTAGTAGGGGACGGACTCGTCGAAACGGACGTTACGAGAGTCAAAGAACCGGTGAAGGGGAAGGGTGGTAAAATGTGTAGTCATATCTCTGATACCATGTCAAGAATGAAAGTGTTGGTTTCACTAAGGTTGGTTGGGGTACATAAACCTAACCCTAACAGTTGTACCCCCTATAACATACGTCACTAAGACTACAACATTTGACACATATAATATACGGTAAAACGTACTGCTACATTCTCAATATTCCCACTAATTCATTCTCAAGGCTGCGCGGGCTCTTGAATGCTCCTACTCGCCCCGTTTCATTCAACAGGCTCCTTGCTTCCCTCGACAGAAATTTCAATCTCATCGGAACCCTCTCCTTAGATATCCAGTCAGATTCTTCCATTTTTCAATTTATCAAACGATGCTCGTCGTAGCCCCCGCTCCCTCCTCAAGCTTCCGCCACACCCTCTGAAATCAACTTCCTCTCCCCTTCAGCACTTTCATTCTCCTCATAACCCTCTCCAACATAGCCACTCAATTTAAGCCAATCCTCCTCAGGCTCCTCCATCCTGCTTGCGGCCTGCTTCCCCCTCCTCAAGCTTCTAAGTTTTTCTCCCCTTCAGCACTTTCATTCTCATCATAACCCTCTCCTTCAACATAGCCACTCAATTACAGCCAATCCTCCTCAGGCTCCTCCACGCTGTTTGCAGCCCAGCCTCCTTGTCAATCTCCTGCATTTCCTCTTGATCACTTTCGTTCTCATCATAACCCTCCTCCCATCCCCACGTGCCCTGCTCCCATCCCCACGTCCCCTGCTCCCATCCCCACGTGCTCTGCTCTCATCCCCACGTGCCCTCCTCCCATCCCCACGTGCTCTGTTCTCATCCCCACGTGCCCTCCTCCCATCCCCACGTGCTCTGTTCTCATTCCCACGTGCCCTCCTCCCATCCCCACGTGCTCTGTTCTCATCCCCACATGCCCTCCTCCCATCCCCACGTGCTCTGTTCTCATTCCCACGTGCCCTCCTCCCATCCCCACATGCTCTGTTCTCATCCCCACGTGCCCTCCCCCCATCCCCACGTGCTCTGTTCTCATTCCCACGTGCCCTCCTCCCATCCCCGCGTGCTCTGTTCTCATCCCCACGTTCCCTCCTCCCATCCCCACGTGCTCTGTTCTCATCCCCACGTGCCCTCCTCCCATCCCCACGTGCTCTGTTCTCATCCCCACGTGCTCTGCTCCCATCCCCACGTGCTCTGTTCTCATCCCCACGTGCCCTGCTCCCATCCCCACGTGCTCTGTTCTCATCCCCACGTGCTCTTGGAAGTAACCCTTTGTCACACAGTAGCTGATGGGGGAGTATAGGGGGAAGGACAGAAAGGGTTGGTTGGAACGTGGGTGATAGACACTCAAAAGGCGAACAAAGAGCTTCACAAAGGGGTCCTGGAAGTAACCCTTGGTGACACAGGAGCTGCAGGAGTGACGGGGCGTAAGGGGAATAGGAGAAGCAGAGACGAGGCGTGTGTGTGTCAGGCAGTGACGCAGGAATTGCTGGGGGGGAAACTTTGCTTACCAACCCAAGTAAGAATGCCTCACAGACGGCCTTGGTGCATGGTAAAAAGTCGTCATCCGTCGTCGTCCGTTGTCTAAAGTCGCCCAAACGTTTCGATTCAAGCCATGACGTTACAGTCCCTAGGCTCATGATGTCACAATTCCTACACTCATGACGTCACAATCCCTGGACTCATGATGTCACGATCCCTGGACTCATGACGTCACAATCCCTGGACTCATGACGTCACAATCCCTCTACTCATGATGTCACAACCCACGGCCTTTCAGTCGACCTGCTACAGACAACGCTCGAGGTATACTTACGGTCGATTTTCGAGACGCCTCAAAAGGCTTTCAGTCAACCTGCTCCAGACAATCCTACTCAGTTTACTAACGGTCGCGTCATCGTTCGTCGCTTGAACTACCATTCGTTACCCGCCATAACACTCAGCGCTGTACGGACAAAATGCTTTTCGTCGTACGCACCAGAAAATTATCCGCTGTAAGTCTGCGCACGGTACGGCGGAAAAGGGCGGAAACCAAATCCTGCCAATTCCTGGCGAATCCTGGCGATGAATGGTGTTGGTTTATGTACCCCAACCAACCTTGGTCAAACCAACACTTTCATTCTTGACATGGTATCACCTAGGTTAAGATCCTACGAGATCCCGTTCCTCTCGTTCACGTCCGTAGCACCCGAGCCTGTCTCGTACCCTAGTGCCCGTTACGTCCGCACTGTCCCTTAGCGCCTATCGCGCTCGTCTCTCTCGTGCCCTAGCGCCCGCTGCGCCTGCCGTCGCGTCGCCCCTGCTGTCCCGTTGCCCCTGCTGTCCCGTCCCGTCACCCCTGCTGTCGCGTCGCCCTTCTGCCCCGTCCCGTCGCTCCTGCCGTCGCGTCGCCCCTGCTGTCCCATCCCGACCCGTCACCCCTGCTGTCTCTTCTGCGTCGCCCCCTGCTGTCCCTTCTGTCCCGCCGCGTTGCGCCGTCCGTCCTGTCTCGTCCCATCCGCGTCGCGCTTCCTGTCCCGTCCCGTCGCACGCGCCCCATGCGCCCTGCCCGTCCGTCGCGCCCCGTGCGCCCTGCCTGTCCGCGCTTGTCGCGCCCGTCCCTGCCAGTCGCGTCCTGTCCAGTCGCGTCGCACTGTCTGTTACGTCCTATGCAGGCCCTTTAGGCGTTTAGGGTTTCGGCAGCAGTAGTATCCACCTCTACGCTTCCGCTATGGCGACCCCTAGGGTCCTGTGCTTTGACGCAGAGGGTAGGCCGCCCGAGTTCTTGGTCTGGCTCCTGCGTGCGCGCCGCCTCCTAGAGAGCTAGGTTCAGGCACACGAGACTCTGTGGGCGCACGCTTCCGGTGACCTACCTGAGCCCGCTGGCCCTGCACCCTTAACAGCTGACCCCACACCTGTAGACAGTGACCGTTATGCACGCGAGCGTGCTGACGTGACAGCGTGGAAGTCGCGTGACGCTGCGGCCTGCATCGCCCTCAGCAGCCTCCTCCCTGAGTCTAAGGAGACCCACTTCACTCAAGTTCGCACGGCTAGTGAGTTCCTGACTGCGATCAAGGCCCGCTACGCTACTCCCACCACTGTCTCTCTTGGTTCCCTGTTCCTTCCGTTCCTGTTTCCTGACCTCGCCTCGTTTGAGCGCACTGCTGACTTGATCACTCATCTGCGCTCGCTTGATTCTAGCTACTGCGCTGCTTGCACTGACGCACAGCTTGCACTTCTCCCTCCCCCCATGACAATGACTATCTATTTCATCACCACTAGCCTCCCTGACCGCCTTGCCTCGGTTCGTGACGCGCTTCTTCTGAAGCACCCTGACGAGCTCACTATCGAGGTCCTTGAGTCGGCCCTCAAGGACGTCGAGAGCAACCTCCGCTCGGTAGCCTCTGCCTCTGGTGTTGTGCCCCCTCCACTATTCCACAGGTGCATTGTCCCTCAGCTGTCCACCTTTACTGCCTCCCTCGGCACTGCCGCTACTGACGTGACCGCAGCTGCTCTTACGACTTCTTCGCGGTCTCGAGGTAGGAGTGGCAAGAGGGGCGGTCAGGGTGCGGGCGGAGGCGGTGGAGGCAATGGGGGTGACGTGGCGGGCGGCGGCGGCGGGAGTGCAGGGGCTGGAGGAGCGCCTCGTGCAGCGGACGGTGACTCCCCTACTGCAGCTGGTGGAGATGACGCCCGTGTTTGTCAGCCACCTACTGGTCTGCCAGCTGCAGGGGGTGGAGCAGCGGCGTGGTACCTGACTCAGCGACAGCAGCAGCACCAGCAGCAGCAGCTCCTCCCCTCGCAGCAGCCACAGCAGTAGCAGTAGCGGCAGCAGCAGGTTTCGGGGCAGGGGTCAGGACAGCGTCAGCTGCAGCGCGGTGTCGTCCACCCTCCCCGCACCTATCACGTTTTGACAGGTGCCCGCCGCAGCCAACCTTGTGGCCGCAGCCACCCACCGGGTCAGTGCTTTGCTCAGCTTACTGACATGGTTCGCTTGGCCTACGGCGTTGACAGCCCTGCCCCTGACTGGCTTCCCCTTGTTCAGACGTGCGGCCCCGCTCTGTGGGGCATGTCGGCTTCTCAGCTGGTTGATCTCTTAGGAACTCCTCATGCTAGGTATTCTGTTGTTGACTCTAGTGCTTCTGACTCTGTTTACTCGAGTGTTGCTAGCTTAGGTGCTAGTCTTGCTGAGGTGCTTGTTGCTAGTGTAGGTACTTGTGTAGACACTAGTCCAGGAGCTGCTCCGGAGGACGCTTCGCTGTCTTTCACTCTGGACTCCGGAGCTTCGCACTGTTTCTTCCGCGACCGCATGACACTTACCCCGCTTCCGACGCCGTTCTCTGTATCACTGGCTGATCCCACTTCGGGACCAGTCACTGCTCGCTACACTACTACGCTTCCGTGCCCGGCTGTTTCCTCCGGTTCTCTGACCGGCTTCCACGTCCCCTCGTTCTCGAGGAACTTGGTGGGCGTGAGGCCGCTCGTGAGTCAGCACGTGGGTGTGTGGATTGAGCCTTCTGGCGAGACTGCGGTTTGTGTTGACGGGAACACGTACGCGCCTCTCGCCAAACTTACCGCTGAGGCGGGCTCTGGTCTCTACACACTTCACACTGGCCCCCGAGGGCAGCAGCAGCAGCAGCAGCAGCAGCAGTGGCAGCAACAGCAACAGCAGCTACTGCCCCCAACCCCTGTCACTGTCCCCCGTCAGGTTCCCGCGTCTCACTAGGTTGCCGCGTCTCCCTAGGTAGCTGTGTCTGGTCAGGTTCCAGTGTCTGGTCCAGTTGCTGCGTCGTGCTCCTGCCGGATGCTTGCCCACCCCACTGTCTTGTGGCACCACCGGATGGGGCACCCGACCATTTCTCGCCTGCGCGCTATGTCTAGTCAGTGTCTTATCTTAGGCCTCCCGTGTGTATTGCCGTCGTTGCCGCCTTCGCTTGCGCCACCCTGCGGTCCCTGCGTCGAGGGTCGGCTGCACGCCACCCCTCACTCCTCCTCCCTTCGTCCGGCCACCGAGCCCTTCGAGACTCTCCACTTGGACGTCTGGGGCCCCGCCTCGCGCCCAGGCCCTGAGTCAGAGAGTTTCTTTCTCGTGGTCGTTGACGACTACTCACACTACACCACAGTGTTCCCCCTGGCAAAGAATTCCGACGTGACTTCTACACTGATCCGGTGGTTGCTTACCACTGCGGACACTCGTCGTCATCGTGTCAGCTGTCTTCACTCCGACCGCGGGGGTGAGTTTCGCTCTGGCGTTCTCGCTGGATTCTATTGCGAGCAGGGCATCTGTCAGTCCCGGACGCTTCCATAGTCCCCACAGCAGAATGGGGTTGCTGAGCGCCGAATAGGCTTGGTCATGGAGATCACCCGCACCTCCATGACTCACGCCCGTGCCCCCCATTTTCTGTGGCCCTACGCGGTTTGGTACGCCGCTCACCAGCTGAACCTCTGGCCACGTGTCTCTCGGCCAGAGGTTTCACCGACCAGTCTTTGGACCCGGTCCCCTGGTGCTGCGTCGCGTTTTCGTGTCTGGGGTTGCTTGGCACTTGTTCGCGACACCTCCGCTGACAAGATCTCGCCTCGCGATGTTCCCTGCATGTTCCTTGGTTTCCCTAAGGAATTCTCTGACTACACCTTTTACCACCCTCCCCTTTACCGGTTCTTTGACTCTCGTGACGTCCGTTTCGACGAGTCTGTCCCCTACTACGTCAGGTACCCCTGTCGAGGTCTCCCGGTTTCTCCTCCCCCTCTCTTCCTGACTTCAGCTCCCCCTCCTGCTCCCCCGGTACAACCTCCCCCCCCTGGTCCCGCCCCGTCAGGTGTGTCCCACGCTACCCCTCCCCCCTCGGTAGCCCCTCAGGTGTAGCCTCCTTCCCCGCAGTCCTCCTCCCAGCCTACAGCAGACCCTACGGGAGCCGGTTTTCGTGGCGAGGACCCTGGAGGTGCTAGCTCTAGAGGTGCTGGAGTTGGAGCAGAGAGCGTACCTAGCAGCGGCAGCAGCAGCAGCAGGTGTTAGTTTGAGCTGGAGTTCCTAGCAGCCACTTCCCCTCATCTCTGTGCCATGCTGCTCGCCCCTGAGGGAGACCCCAACGCCCTTGACATACCGACTCCTCGCACTTACGCTGAGGCAGTGTCAGGGCCTTGGGCCTCTCAGTGGAGAGCTGCCATGGACTTAGAGATGGCCTCCTACAGATCCACAGGCACCTACGTCGACGAGGTTCCCCCCCTTGGGGCAAACATAGTCGATGGCATGTGGATCTTCAGGGTGAAGCGGCAACCGGGATCTCCTCCAGTCTTCAAGGCGCGCTATGTGGCCAGAGGTTTCAGTCAGCGCGAGGGAGTTGACTTTTTTCAGACCTTTGCGCCTACCCCAAAGATGACCACTCTTTGGGTGTTACTGCACGTAGCAGCACAGAGAGACTACGAGTTACAATCTCTTGACTTCTCCACTGCTTTCCTTCAGGGTAGCCTACACGAGGAGGTCTGGTTACGTCGTCCCTCTGCCTTCACTGGCACTTTCCCTCCTGGGACCCAGTGGAGGCGTAGGCGACCGGTCTACGGTCTCCGTCATGCTC